GCTATGTACAGTAACCTGCCGACCCTCCCACCAGCTATGTACAGCGCCCCGCCGGCCCCTCCCACCAGCTATGTACAGTACCCTGACAACTACTCCCACCAGCTATGTACAGTACCCTGACAACTACTCCCACCAGCTATGTACAGGACCCTGCTTGCTCCTCCCACCAGCCATAAAGAAGCACAGGGACCTAGTGATGATGTCACTGGATCTGCCTCAGTGCTGCTCTCAAGAGCCCTCAGTCGTGATGCAAGCAGTGGGCCGACTCTTGGGAGGAGCTATGCAAATTTTAAAATGCCTTGATGGCCGGGTGTCAGTCTGGAGGAGTGGGCGGTCCCGGGCAGGCTGAATTTGCATACAGACCACCCTAGGTAACCCCCACATGTGATGCTGAGCCTCCATGATTGAAAGATGTGAAATCCAATCAATGAAAGGGGCAGGGCCTGGGACTGTACGGCTCTATAGCAGGGGTAGGAATCCTCAACGCTCCAGCTGTTGTGGAACTACAAATCCCATGAGGCATTGCAAGACTCTGAAAGTCACAGGCATGACTCCGAGGCAGATGCATGATGGGATTTGTAGTTTGAGGACAGCTGGAGTGCAGAGGATTAATACCTTGTTCTTTGTATCGTGGACAGTGAGATCCTTTACCTGAAACTTACTACAGGACCAACTTCAGAGAAGATATCTTTCAGCTGCTCCTCTGTCGCCTCGTAGGGGATGTTCCCAACTGCGGAACAGAAAATAATTGGTAACAAAAATGAGGAAACGTCATTCACAATCCGCCAAAATCTTTATTTCCTGTTCCTGCAATCCGGGGGCATTAAAGCTGAACTCCGGGACAACAGATATTATCCTCATACAAGAGCCATGTGCAGGGTGACTGGTCTTGTCTCCGCCCCTTCCTGTAATAAAGACCAGTCACTGCTGCTCTCTGTCCTTGTGCAGGGTGACTGGTCTTGTCTCCGCCCCCCTCCTGTAAAAAATACCAGTCACTGCTGCTCTCTCTCCTTGTGCAAGGTGACTGGTCTCGTCTCCACCCCTTCCTGTAATAAAGACCAGTCACGGCTGCTCTCTCTCCTTGTGCAGGGTGACTGGTCTTGTCTCCGCCCCTCCTGTAATAAAGACCAGTCACGGCTGCTCTCTCTCCTCGTGCAGGGTGACTGATCTCGTCTCCGCCCCCCTCCTCTAATAAAGACCGGCCACTGCTGCTCTCTCTTTGTCTAGGGTGACTGGTCTTTTCTCCGCCCCCTCCTGTAAAGACCGCTCACTGTTGCTCTCTCTCTCCTTGTGCAGGGTGACCGCTTTATCATCTCCGCCCCTTCTGTAATAAAGACCGCTCACTGCTGATCTCTCTCCTTGTGCAGGGTGACTGGTCTTGTCTCCGCCCCCCCTCCTGTGTTATTGACCAGTCACTGCTACGCTCGGGGTGCCAATTAAAATGAATGGTAGTGCAAAATTGTGCGTAACCCTAAATGGGCCCTGTGGGGTAACAATATGCAGAAAGCACCCCACATTATATCAGTGACTCCCACGGTGGGCTGAGGACACAGAGGTGCCTGAGGACCCCCTCCATTATACATTTGGGGGACCTGAAGGCCCCAGAACCAGGCTGGCCTGAGCACAGCTCGGCCGCCCCGAGAAGTGACAGAATAATGTGAACTCCTTCTCACCGAACACTGATCGCAGGGATCGGTCCACCGCCGGGTCCCGCACACTCAGAGCCGCCATCATCGTACAAAACCACCGCGATCCGACACGCTAATCCTTCCGCCAATAGAAACCGCGACTTCCGGCGCACTGGTATTACTGTCCCGGTTCTACTTCCGGGGGATGCTTACACAGGGTTCCGGAACCGATGTGTCCTGTACGGCTCAGACTGAAAGAGTTCTCCCCTTATACAGGTGAGGAGGTGGAGGGATGTATGCGGGGCGAGGGCTGGAGAAGGGGGGATGGGATATCACATGGAACATTTACTGCGAGGTAATAGGGACTGCGGGAATGTATCACAGTGCAAGAAATTCCGGTTCTGTCTTTCTTTCCTCCTCACCTCCCTTCTTCCTCCCTCTCCTCCCTTCTTCCTTCTTCATCCCTACCCTTCCTGCTCCCCCCTTCTTCCTCACCTCCCTTCTTTATCCCTACCCTTCCCTCCCTTCTTTATCCCTACCCTTCCCTCCCTTCTTCTTCATCCCTTCCCTCTCCTCCCTTCTTCATCCCTCCCCTTCCTCCTCC